ACCCACCTCGCCAGAGTACTCCACTCTACTCTATCTTACTTACTTTTACTCACTCTTTCTATTTTATTTTATTCTATCTGCCTGCTATGACTACTACTATAAGTAGGCTATAATTGTTCTTCTTAAATTTTAAGTTTCAAGGGAACTAGGCTAAGCTTGGTTTTCCTAAGTTTTATTCTTATTTTGTTTATTAGGTTTTGATTTTAAGTTTAAGTTAGTCAAGTAAACCCTAAGTTAGTTCTGATAGCTCTTAGTATTAGTTTCTTCTAAGCACTGCATCTCTCACTCAAAAATTGAGAAACCTGAATTGCAAGGCTGGTCCTGTGTCTCTTACCACCAGGTTATCAAGGAAGGGTGTGAGTATATTAACCAAAGCTTTGTTGCATATAATCCTATATTATCATATGTATCTTTTGAATAGCAGTAATGCAATTGTAACTTTGTAACTCTGAGTATTTTACTATTTACTTACTATTATTGATTTTAATAAAAAGTCTTTAAGGCTATATCTGTCTCAGTGTGAGTTTCTTGTCATACCCCCCGGAGGGTCCTTTGTAAATTCTGTGGATTAAATTAAATTAAATTGATAAATTAAATTATTATGAATACACCCTACATCAGGCTACAGACTAGATAGATAGTATAGAATAGAAGAGGAAGAGAGCTAGAGTAGAAAAAGAATACTCTAGCGAGGTGGGTATACTCCTGGCTGGCTCACCAGTCTGTAGCCTGATTTAGGATGTACTAACAATATTAATTTATCAATTTAATTCTTATTTAAATTAATACTATTAATAATAATAATTAAGTATTATTATTAATAGTATGGGTTTTAGGCTCGCCAATCTGTTTGATCAGAAGATAAAAAGTTCTTGTCCAGAATCAGGCATCACAGAATTTACAAAGGACCCTCAGGAGCCAACGCTAAGTGTGTGGAAAAATGGGCTTACTGTTGGAACACCTTCTCATGGCTGAGTATAGGGTAGCAGGTTTATTTTCTCTATAATGCCCCTGTCGCTGGTTCATCTTGTCCTACAGTGAATTCTCTACTTGCAACTGAGTGCTCCTGTGAGGTTATGCTTTAGTCCCACCTCTTTTGGAGTAACAAAGTCCAATGACCTTACAAAAAAGTATTTGATTACAACTCTGGGCCCCCTGATCCTCATATTTTTCTCTCAGAGGCTATCAGCACTCCTTATCAAGGGCTTTATGTCATTTTCCCCAGTAGCTGGTAGGGTAATCCAGACCCTCCTGCTATACTGGATTCTAGTCCAGGGAGCCTATAGCCAGCAGCCAAGGTCTGAACCATCAGACTCATTGCTTCCACCTCCCTGGACTTCTTCCTACCATAGCCCATCAGCAGGATTCTCTCATAGTGTCTAAACTTATCCTTTTCTCATGGCCAGAACTCCCCTCTGGAATTCTCCCAACAAATTCCCAAAGTACAGGTACAAACATAAATCCAGTTTTACCCTCCTCAGGTTTGATCTTTCATTCTTTTCTGTTCTTCTTTCATTCTTTTCTGTTTTGACCATCTCCCAGGGGTCTCTCCCTAGAACACCAAAGCCAGCCCCATTACAAGGGCTCACTGCCAGAAGTTACTCCACCTCAATGACTGTTTTATGTCACTCCTAATCTCCTACCAGACTTTGCTACTTAGAAAAAAATTCCACAGCCAACACTCCCTGTAGGGATCCTCCTTGACCCTGCCAGTCTTCCCCACTTACTTATCACAGAAGGTAATAGCAGACTTTCTCTCTGCAATCCCCTTCTAAGTTGTACTTCCATTATTTAGAGTCACCTGCTCCTTCCCCAGCTGGGTTTCATCTTTAATTAATCCTGGCATATCCTCCAGGTGCAATCAGGTAGCATAATTGGCCTCTCAAACCCATATTTATTCTTTCAGTACCAGGATGATGCATATACCCCACTAGAGTACTTCTGCTCATTCTACCTTAAAAACATTTATACCTGGGAACTAATCTCCCTTTAAATGGTTTTCATAGCTGCTGTGTTTCTAATAATTATGGTCTTTAAAAATAGGAATGAACTCTAGGCTACGTAATATATGTTAGTACCAATACTTCCTTTGCTCAAAGGCATTTGCCACCTTCTATGAAAATACATCTTTTAGAGATTTTTTTAATCGTGTTTTAGATTTTAATAGAAAAAATCTTTGTGTGATGGTTAAAACACATATAGAAAGGATATTCTCTATTAGAATAAGTGGGGTTTTAGAGTAACTTCTATAAATCCCTTATGTTTTCATCCATTACATAGCACTTCCCCATAAGGCTAGACCTACTATTTTAAGGCTTAATGTTCTGGCCAAATATACATAAGGACTAGGGGAGCAGGAGGGTGCAGAGTTTTATCTGCATGTTCATTTCCCTTTGACCAACTTCCTTATGGAAGTGCTTGAATGTGCATACTAACTGTGTATAGAGCCTAATAACTCTGTCATTAATGGATAAATCGTTGGCCCTGGTCATGTGTGGTGAGCAGAGATGGGAGGTACTGAACCTTATCTGAGAGGAACAAGATTTTTTGGGGGTGGGGGTGCTAGTGAGGTAAATGCACAAGTGAATTGATTAGCTGGGGAGGTCTCTAGGGAGATAGCATGGACACAGCCAGTTCTGACAGTGGAATAGGGACCAGTTCAGGGAGTCTTTGCAAATATGTGTACTGTGGAGAACACTGGACAAGTGGAGTGGAAACCAAGACCAGCAGCATTAGTTGAAGACCGAGGAACCTGACCTACTCTAACGATGACCTATTGTAGGTTGTTTGGGATGGCCACTATAAAAAAAATGAATATTGACAGCTGCAGCTGGGGAGACAGCAATTTTCCATTATACTCTTTATCTCCCCCTCTCCATCCCCCCAACATGCTCATTCTTTCCCTTTATGCACCCGAAGAAGTAGAGCATCTGTTAACACTGCTTCCCAACGGCATGTCACAACAGGAGATGTGCACATCTCCACAGAGTTTGTGTAGCTTGGCACTTCTTCACACCGGTGGGCAAAGGAAGCATTTTGCCTCAAGTATACACAATTCTCTGCATGTAGACTGGTGACAGAACTCCTTTACAAGTTAATGTGAGTTTTGCATGTGAAAAATTGCAAGCTCTGGCAACCAATCATTTAAGTGTCTGGGAGGTTTCATTTGAACCAAGTAATAAATTGAGGTTACACCTCAGTGTAACTGGACAATCAAAAAATGTGCATGAGTTATCATTAGAACTATCAATAAATTATCTGTTTGCCTCAAATCTCGGTGGACAGAAAGAAAGAGTTACAGTGACACTGATATTTCATTATTCATATAGCAGATGAACACTTGAACACTAGTCAACTGGCATGCTCTGATATTAGTACCACAGTAACATCTTTGCATTGCTATAATTTTAGGGAAACAATGGATTATTAGTTGCATTTGGAGGTGGGGATGTTATCTATGTTGTCACTCTTCATTGCTTAATAACCATCTAGGAGCTGGTCAAATTTAAATTTAATAAAGATAGTAAGTTTGGCATAAAACTCTGTATTTTCCTCATTTTAAAAAGAAACAACAAGTGTTAAAATTAAACAATGTTGAGTCCTTGTGGCACCTTAGAGACTAAAATTTATTTGGGCATAAGCTTTCATGGGCTAGAATCCACTTCATCACATGCATGGAGTGGTAAATACAGTACCAGATATGTATGTGATGAAGTGGGTTCTAGCCCATGAAAGCTTATGCCCAAAGAAATTTGTTAGTCTCTTAGGTGTCACAAGGACTCCTCATTGTTTTTGCTGATACAGACTAACACGGCTACAACTCTGAAACCTTTAAGAATGTTGTCAGTCTGCTTTAGCTCAAAAGGAGCCTAGTTTTTAAAATAAATTCCACTGATGTCATATTTTAAGTGATTTTACTAGATATGTTAAACTGGAAAGAATTTTCCTACTTTGACTTTTTTTTGGTAGTGTTTATACAAATCAACATGTATTCACAACAAAAATGTCAAACAATGAAAAACAGCAGGGATGACAGCATGAAATTCAACATGAGTACATATAAATGACACATTGGTTCCAGCAGTCTGCCATTCTGCAGGCAAATGTGTCTGTTTAACTTGGAAATTTGCAGAGTATCTTTACCACACTAACCCACTGTGCATGACATCTGTTGGATTGAAAGCCTGCATTTCATTTATCACTGATTTCTTGAAAATGCCTCAAACCTGTTAGCGCTCTCCCCCCCGATAGCTGGGGGAACAAGCAGCAGCAAGATCTAATGTAGTTTATCTGTAAAGAAAGAGGAAGGAGGGAGGGAAGAGAGCATCACTGTAATGTTTCTATGCTTTTGCTGTTTCTATTTCCCTTCCCCAAAGGTATCAAAACAGCAGCCTCTGGCCCCATCTAGCTTCCACCTCCTCTTCTTTCCCTGTTCAGTAACCTCCCAACCCCTGAAACAGAACCCTATTATTTTCTTTTTAGTGGCTCCCTGTACAAGCCTCAGACATCAGAAAAGGGAACTTCCAAAAGGGTTTGGTGCCTCCTCACTAGATACAGTGGGCCTGATCTAAAACCCATTGATGGCAACAGAAAGACTCCCATTGGATTCAATGGGCTTTGGATCAGGTCCAGTATGAGTAGCCCCGTACTTCCCCTCTCTCCCAAAGATGGAATTACTCACAAAGGGTCTGATCAGACAGGCAGATCTGCTAGCATGGACCCATCGGTCTCCACACAGGTGCGGGGATCTCCACTAGCAGGATGAGAGCCGGGCAACATATCTAACAATCAGGCCTTTAATAATTGATTCTGACACCTGTAATTTGCTATGTTTTTGTTTCTATCTGTAAACACAAATGAATGACTACCCAGGGAGAGTAAATTTTACTTTTTGGTTGCTACAGTTTGTTCCAAGGAAGCACCAATGTGACATTATATACTGTGTTTTTTAAAAGAAAAAAGGAACGCCTGAAATTTCTTTATTTCTAACCTTTGAACAGAAAGAACGGGAGAAGGGTTCTAATCTGGCATTTATGTTTCGACTGCCTTTTGCTGCTGGAAGGGTTTTCAGCATCAGTATGTTGGACACCCTCCTGTACCAGGTACTGTACATGACAACACCTAATTTTCTTTAACATATGCTTTATCACAGCATAACATATGCTTTATCACAGATTTATATTTAATTGTTAGATGAGCCACTTTGTAATGTTTTATTGTATGCTGGCTGATGTTTTATGTATCGGGTTATTATTGCTTTACCTTTAATATATGAAAAACAAAGTTACTTTTAAAGTAGTGTAAGGAAAAGTTTTATTTTCTTTACAGTATTACTGTTATAGAATGATTTTTAGTAAAATGTTAACATTTTAAAGACATTATTTTAAGCATGTAACCCTCATGAGATTAGACAGATGATTCTGCAACTAGGGCTTCATACAGTGGCACACTGTGAATGTCCAGGAATCCACCCACACAGAACCAATTGCAGACCTGAGGCCATATAGGCCCAAGTTCTGGTTGGCCCTGTATACTGAGTGCACCAGAAAAGTCATCAGAAGAACAACAAATAAAGGCTCATTGACTACAATCAGAAATATTTCCAATCCAATAAAAAAAATCCAATTAAAAAACCCCAAGAAAAAAAAAGGGTGTTTCACCAGGTCCCATGTCAGAGCTGCAGAAGGGAATGCCAAGACAGAGCCAAGAGGTCATGTAGTATGCTCTGGATGTTAGTGTCTGTTCACTCACTAGCCCAACAGTGATAACGCTCTATGCAAATTGTTCCTGCTCTTCACACTGAAATATTGCATCTGGAGCTCTTCACAGCCAAAGTACAAGGGACATTAATAATGGATACTATAGGCATGCACTCATCTGGATTATGCCATTTACCATGTAGTTGCCAGCTCTTGGCTTGTAGTGTTCTGCTTTACAAAGTCAGATCCTTGTCCTGCAAATGACTGACTTGACTCATCTGAGTAATCCCACTGAAACCAACAGAATGATTCACATGAGTGATGTCACTCACATGTGTTTGCTGTAACAAGCCCACAGTGCTGGACTGTGCCACACTTATTTACAACAAATAGTACCTACCTCTACATTTCCACTTGGTGTGAGTTGGGGTTGCAGAGTCTGGCTCTAACACAGCGGACTAAGTAAAGTCAACATGATGGTGATATAGCATGCAGAGCAACTTCTTGAGGCTAAGTATATCTATCAATTTTTTTCCAATACAGGAGGTAGGTAAGTATATAGCTGCAAAAACAAAACCCCAAGATTTACAGCTATTCATCAATTGCTGTACATTTTGGAAATAAATGTATTTACTCACAAGGCATATTCTAACCCTGCCCCAGAATATGAACACTGAATTTGGTGTTATTTTACAAGTGATAGATGAATGACGACACTCTTATGGAAACAGTTTTTTGTTATTATTAACTCCTGCCATCTTCAGTATTTTATATTTGTTGTTATACATGATCAGCCAGAATTCCCTTTGTATACAGAATGCCATTACTGGATGGAGTGAGGCAATTTACAATCAATAGAGCTGGCTTGGAATTTCTTGGCAGAAAATTTTTCATTGGAAAAAAACTGATTTGTCCAAACCAAGTTCTTCATGTAAACATATCTGTTTTGATGAACATTTCATTGGGAAGGTTTCTGAGCTCCAGGATGGAATTTCTGTGGGGAGAGAAGCAACAGCCTAGTGGTGAGGACACTCACTTGGGATCATAGAATCACAGAACATCAGAGTTGGAAGGGATACCTCAGGAGGTCATCTAGTCTAACCCCCTGCTCAAAGCAGAACCTAATCCCCAACTAAGTCACTTTGTCAAGCCTGACCTTAAAAGCCTCTAAGGGAGGAGATTCCACCACTGCCCTAGGTAACCCATTCCAGTGGTTCACCACCCTCCTAGTGAAAAAGCTTCTCCTAATATCCAACCTAAACCTCCCCCACTGCAATTTGAGACCATTACTCCTTGTTCTATTATTCAGGAGACTAGGTTCCATTCTCTGTCCCAAATCAGGTAGAGGATTTTTTTTTTTTTAAAAAGAGTATGGCAGTTCAGTTTAAACCAATTAAAGGAATGGTGTAGATCAGTGGTTCTCAAACCTTTGTTTTTCCTCAGATCACTTGAAAATTGCTGAGGGTCTCAGCGGACCACTTAGTGATCTTTCCAAATGTTGTTTGTACTGTTAGCTAACTATTGTAAAGCACTTTGGATAAAAGCGCAATACAAAAAAAGCTTAATTATTAACGCTTTTGGGTCCTACAAATAAAAGCACAGCGCTCATATTTTAATATCAGTAGTCTTACCTTTCTAATGTGGTGGATGTGTCCTCTCTCCCCCTCGCCATGGCAGACCCCGAGCTGGGGCTGGGAAAGAGGGCTGTCTCTCCCCGGCAGCCGCAGCCCTGCAGCTGAGGAAAGTTGCCCTTTCGCTGGCTGCCACAGCCCTGCACATCCCAAATCCCCTATTCTCACCACACTCCCCCCTCCCACCTACTCCTTATTTCCCCCAAGGCCCCCACCTCACCTTACATGTGCGTCTTCTCCAGGGCCCAGGCACCTAATTAGTAGCACCACGCCTGCACCTTCATTCTCTCGTACCAGGCGCACACCTTAGAGGGAACTATCCATGGACCACCTGAATGGAGCTCACGGACCACAGTTTGAGAACCTCTGGTGTAGATAATACTTAGTCCTGCCATGAGTGCAGGGGACTGGACTAGATGACCTCTCAAGATCTCTTCCAGTCCAATGATTCTGCAATTCAGTGAGTCCTAATAAACAAACTAAAGCAAAATAAGCCTGGTTGAAATCAAAGAATGAATAGCCACATAGCCTTTTGCACCAGCTTAGCTAAACTAGCTTAAAAATACACCTTAAATTAAACCAGTACAACTTCTGGGTGTAGACAAGCCCTAAGATTAACCTTCCGTAAAGGCTAATTATAAATCCAAGTCTGCAACTTTGACCAACAAGAATATATTGATTCTGTCTTGAACCAACCAAACATACAGCCAGCCACTGAAAGCCAGTACAGCGTCATGAGGGAAGAGGATTGACAGCTTTCCCTAAGCTCTGCCTCCCAATGCACAAGTAGGTAGATGGCACAGGACAGACTTGTTACAACTGAAGGAGACCATGGATAACCCTCTGCCCTTCCTGCAGCCCAGCCTAAGGGGAGAAGGATAGCTTAGATTCACTCATTTGAAAGTCAGAAGTGACCATTAGATCATCTAGTCTGACCTCTTATATAACACGGACTATAGAATTTCATTCATTTACCTCTGCGCTGAGCCCAGTAGCTTGTGTGGCAAAGCATCCTGTTTTGATATGAAGGCATCAAGAGACAGAGAATCCACCACTTCCTTTGGTAGTTTGTTTCAACACCCTATTTAAAAAAAATGCCGTATTTCTAGTTTCAATTGGTCTGCTTTTAAATTCCAGCCATTGGTTCTTGTTATGCCTTTCTCTGCTAGATTAAAGAGCCCTTAATGCCTCATATTTTCACCAGGAAAGAATGACCTGTTGCGAATACCAATATTTTCGTTCAGAATTCACACATGGTGCTGCTGACCTTGTAATCACCTGCTCATCTGTGCACTTAAACTTTCTTTTCTCTCTCTCTTTTTCTAATCTTGCAGTCATTTGTGAAGGATTATATGATCTCTATCACAAGACTTCTGCTGGGACTAGATACCACACCAGGATCTGGGTTTCTTTGTTCTGTAAGTTTTTTTTTAAGATGATTAAATGGTGCCATATAAGGTTCTGTACCCTCCACACAATACCACTGCTCTTTTCGTACTGTGGTTTCTCTCATGAGAGTCCTATGAAGGCAGTTATTTTCTTTATCTTCAGAGTAGGAGTTCAGTAAAATAGGTAGAAAACTTCACTACTTTTCTTACCTGCAAAAGAAAAGAAACTTAAAAAGATATGTAAAGAAAAAATAAGGCAGAAAAAAACTGCAGATGTTATACCAGTGTTTGGAATTTAAATAAAGCTTTTGAAAAAAACTCCATAGGTTGTCTATATTACTTTTGTATGGAGTAACAAACTCTTAAACTGAATTTAAAGAATATGAAAGTACCTATTAATGAAATTTATTAGCTATGTAAAGGCTAAATGTGGCTAGGACTTTATCCTGTGCTACCCCACTCACTTCAAATGAGTTTGCACTGGTGGTAAAATCAGGGCAGAACTGAGCCCTAAATATCAGATAAAGATAGAAAGCAAAAGTTAGTTGAGTTTCACATACTGTATTTCCTGCTCCTAGGAAATTAGAGGCATTATCATAGTTATTTGTTATTATATACTTCAGCATTCTTGAATCAATATTCATGAGTAACAAAGCAGCTTCCTTGGATGAGTTCTGTTATCTCAACCAACAATGAAAGATTTGTAGAAAGGGATCTGATAGTTTTAAAAGGAAAAGAAAATGGCAGTCACTGGCACAGGTGTCATGTAAATAATGTATTCTATTCAGTCCAGTAGTCTCAAATGTGAAAGACGTTTCACAGCATGAATAAGCTGAAGTGAACTTGCAGATTCTGAGCTTACTATCAGGAGCAGCGATATTGCTCAATAAGTTCAATATTGGCAGTGTGATAGTCCTATTTCAGAGGATAAGGTCATGATCCAAAGACCACTGACGTCAAGAAGAATCTCTCCACTGGGCTTTGTATCAGGCTTTCCGGGCACCAGTTCTGCAATCCCTTCTTTACATGAATGGTCCCCGCTGACTTCCACATGATTAGTCATGTAAGAAAGAGTTTACAAGACTGGGCACTTGGAAATGAAAGGCATCCCCTGGCTTAACAGTGCTTTAATACGTTTGTTTAAAAAGTTACATCTATTATTTTAAATATTTAACATTTTTTCCCACCAGCTAGTCAACCATTATAACAGGATGCAAGCTGATGTACAGTGTCTTAAATTGGATCACACTGGTTGTATCTCAAATGTCCTAACTTTTTAAGTAAGACTACCATAGTAGTCATGGAAGATGTGGAAGAATTTTCAAATTCATTTCACATGACATTCATGCTTAATAGTGCTACTTTGATCTTTCTAACATTCTGGTTGCTGAGACAAGTAAAATAGATACACTTCTCCTAATGCCACATACCTCTTCTCAACTCAAATTACTCTTTATGCTCCTCAATCTCTCCATAACACCTTATTTGTTCTGTCAGCCATTTTACTTTTATTTTACTCCAACACTTAACATGGATATTAGACAGTCAGTAAAAGAATTTTCAAATAATTTTAAAACTGTATGAGTGAAGCTCCCTTCCAAAATACCAAGGCATTTGCTTGGGAAAGTCCCTTAGGAAGGAAAGAGCAAAACATTATAGAATTGGAACCTTACTTTCTGCTATTATTTTTCCAGATGAAAATCACAGAAGATGATCTATGGATTAGGACATATGCCAGACTATATCAGAAACTTTGTTCTTCAACAGGAGATATTCCTATTGGAATCTATAGAACTGAATCCCAAAAGCTTACAACATCTGAGGTTTGCCTGCTTTAATATACCAATTTCTAGTTTGGATAACCCAAACCACATAGTAATACATTAAGATAGTGCAATGACTATACACAGTTAGAGAGGTCATACAGTATTATTGACGCTACTAAATATTTTTTAATTAAAGATGGAATGTAATACAATACCACAGGTATAACCTACTGTACTGTTTCAAGCAATCATGCCACTCAATAGTAAATTTATTTTTTTCATGTAGCAGTAGATGGTGCAGGGGGGAAATGGGCAGTGGCGCGCGGCCCAGGACGCCCACTGGTGCTGGGGGGGGCCTGTTTGCCGGGGCCAGCAGGTTCCCTACCTGGCTCCGCGCCTCCCCTGCAGCAGCAGCAAAGTTTGGGAGTGGGAGGGGGTAGGGTCTTCCAAGTTTGAAAATTCTGGCCACATGAGTCCAGCTATTGCTACAGGAATTCTAGAATCACTAGTATAATAGATATTCCCCGGCAGTATTTTCTGTTGCCCAGATGTAGACTTTTACAAGCAGGGTTTTATACTAGAAAGAGTATTGACCTCAAAGTGTTGCCATATTAAGACTTCAATGCAGTGCTCCCAGGTTTATTTAAGTCTTTGAGCTTTATTGCAACTATTCATTCAATTTAGTATACAGTATCTGTTGTTGTGGTTCCACAATTAAGGGTGTTGTGGCATTTCATGTTAACAGCTTTTCCTCTCCTTTTCACTTTTTAGTCCAAACCAGTGGCTTTGGGCACATCAAGAGTTTAATCTGGAAAAGTGCTGAGCAACTCTCAGAGGTGATGAGAGCTGAGGCTGCTGAGCACCTTGCAGAATTGAATCCTTGTCAATAGCTTTTCTACAGCAATAATGAAAGAATCCAATAAACTGAAAGCTAATACGCACCACAAAGTAACCTCCAGTTACAAGACATTAGGCAATAGAGGACCAATCTGAAACCACATCAGCTCTTTAATTTCTGTGTATAGCACTCAGCTTACCAGGGGCATTACTGCTGTATGAACACCTTGGCCTAGAATCATGTGGCTCTCTATTGTCTGGGTATACCGCAAGAAGGATAGGAGACTAGTTATGGGTTTTAATCGAGCTGCAATTTTATTATATAGATGTCTGGGACTACCCAGCAGATAAAGTGTACAGTGCAGGCAAATCCATACTTATTCAAATCAATGATCTGGGGCTTTCATCAGCCCACTTTGTTTCCATCCAGGTCCCCCAGCGGACCCATGGCTTGGACCTTACCATCCACCAGCCTCGTAAGAGGGTTAAGGAGGGCTATGAGAATGGGGGGGGGGGTTGGCTCCCTGCTATACCAATCATAGGAGTCCCTGAACCCCCTTCCCTATTCTGTTTCTTTATCCAATTCCTCCTTTTAAGTCCTTTACCAGGCCATTTATCTGGTCACTGGCTACCCTCCCTATGGAGTACCTGCACTGAACATCCACCCAACCTTACAAAATAAGTTGCAACATATGGCCTACCACCTTTTCTATTCACCAGAAAAGGTCCATTCTCACACCTGCTGTGGAGAAGGTGAAAAAACACACACTCCACCGAAGCCAATTGTGGTGACGTGGGAAAAATTCCTTCCCAGCCCCCTTTAAAAGGGGCGACTTGAGTAATGCCCACAGCAGGTCCTAACCCAGCCTGCCATTCGCCTCCACTAGGGGAGGGAGGGTGGGTGGTGACTTCCTTGTTGCGTAGACAGAGAGTCTTGCCCCACCCAGGTTTCGTACCTTTATGCACATTTTGGTGGGGCGGGGAGGGAAGAGCCATTGCTGCAAAGCTGACCACTGAGCACCTTTTTTACAGCAGTTTCTGACCTTCTTCATCTCCACCTCAGTTTTTCCATGTATATAAAGATTAATTCATCTTAATTCTTCCACTGCTATCAAAAATATCTGTCTCATCTAAAAACAGAGAAACAATTGACTATCTACCCAGGAGTACCAACTGGGAAACCAGAAAAGCTGACTATATACCAAAGACAGCTGGCTAAAAGAGTTTGGATCTGTTAGTATGGTGGGATGGATATTTTGCAATCTTAAACAAAGACTTCTCTTTTCTTTGCTGCTGCCCTAGCTTCACTGCTTGTTTAAATCACAAAAGGTGAAGCTGAATACAGGCTAAGTTGAGTAAGTGAAACTTAATTAAGCCCAGTGCACTGTTCTGTCCACGTAGCAGAGTTGCTTACAGCCTGACTCCCTGCACACCCTGTTCTACTCGTGTCCTGTCACTAGCAGTCCCCCACCCCAGAATCATGGATTATCAGGGTTGAAGGAAAGGACCTCAGGAAATCTAGCCCAACACCCTGCTCAAACGACCAATCCCCAATTTTTGACCCAGATCCCTAAATGACCCCCTCAAGGATTGAACTCAGCACCCTAGGTTTAGCAGGCCAATGCTCAAACCACTGAGCTATCCCTCTGCCCCCAGGTAATGCTGGCCCTTCCTTATTTTACAAGCACTTTAATATACACATTAAAAACAAAATAATTGACACCCAGACTCTCTCCTCCCCGCCACCCGATGTCCCTAGCTAGAGGTTGCTATTATGTAGCCAAGTTGGAGTCTCAATTTTACCACAGACTCAGCTGGTTACTTAGCTTTTGGGATAGGTTGGTCTCCTCAACAGGAAATCATACTGGGAATGATTCTGTCTCCCTGTCACCTGTCTGTGAGTCTACTAAACTATCTTTCTGTGGAGTTTCCTCCTTGCCTGTGGGGTTAGCCTCTGGATGGTTCCATGTCTGTGTGTTCTGTAATGATCACTCTCTCTCTGTAGGCTCTCTCTGAGTGTTGTGTCTGCTGGATCATGCCTCCTGTTCCTTCAGATCACTTGTCCCTCTTGTGCAGTCACCCTGTATAACCTGAGTGCCACCCTACCCCTCACAACTCCTTTAGTCCACATCTTCTGGTGTCTCTTGCATGGTTGGATTCTCACAGGTGTGAGAGACACCAGGGCCATTAGGTCCTTGGTTGACCTGTCATAGTCCTGTTGTGCCTCCTTTCCCTGATTGCTGGCTATCTGCTCTCTGCAGTATCTCCATCCTTCTGGCTGCAACAGGTCTCCTCTCATCAGTAGCAGTGTTTTGGTTGCGTGTCCCACCAGTGCCTGCACTGGACTGTTTTGGCACCCTTGTGATGAGGTACTCCTGTGTGCCAAAAATGCTAACAAGAGGTCTGACCCAGAGGAAGCAGCCTTGTGTAACAGTGTCTTTGCTGTTCTCACAACTGATTTCACCTTACCATTATTCAGTGGCTATGTGGACGTGGAAGGGTCTCTGCTGCTTCTCAATTGCCTACTTCCAGTTCCAAATGAGGTTTGTGGTTGACTGGTCAGATCGTAACTCTGGTGTTTGTAACTCTGAGATCCTATTGTAGATGAAGATTTATTAGATAGGAAAAGGAAATTAGAGACTTATTTACAAGGTAAAAGCAAGAAGACACCCTAAGGAGTTACAATCTGCAGTTTCAAAATATAATCTAGGCTTCTATAATCAGCAAGTTCTATTTAACCTTTAGGACTAACCGGGGCCAAGCAGCTGGGGATCTCTTGTTTATGCCTGGAAACACCTTCCTGCTCCCCATCTCCTCCAAGTCCAAGCATCATGAAGATACCTAGTTATTTTGATTCAGAGTTTTTATCCTTCTCCTGCCATGTGCTCTGAGCTGCATACTGAGCTGATGGGAAAAGTCCACTTCCATGACTCATCTTCAGAGGGAGGAGAGCAGAACAATAAGACTCTTAAATCCTATTGTTGATGGTTCTTCAACCCAGATTTATGGTGTTTCCAGCTGTAAAAATCCATGCTGTCTGCCTTGGGTCTCCTCTCTCAGGAGGTGTGTAACAATTTCTGTAGAAGAGCTGCTCTTCACACTAATTAATGTCCCTCTCCTATAAGGCCATTCAAACGGTCACCGAGGCTCAGAATAGGACTATTCAAATATTACACTATGAACACAAATGTTACAAGTAATATTACTGCACGAGCATTTAATAGTCTAAACACTAAGCACATTCTTATAATTCTAATACAAGTGATCCAGACAGATTCTACCTAAGTATTTGTTAATGTCCATTTGAGACATGGGGACCTGGGCATGAGCTGGTACTTGGCCTGCCAGTGTCACCACATGTAGCAGCCAGTGTGTAAGGTAGTAATACCAGGGTCTAGCCTTTGGATTTTGGAAAATTTGCATCACTCCACAGTTCCATTCTGCTTCAAGGAGCAATAGTTCCACAGGACTCCTAGGACTGCTGAGAGACTTAAAGCAGTGGTGAGCTTCAGCATAGTGCAGACCTCTCTGTCTTGCTCCCCAGTAAAGTAGAGTAACCATTTTACTTTCCTGCTGCTCTTGTCCTCGTGCGTGACCAGGTCTGTGTACAGCTGGAATGCCTCCTTTCACCAGATCCATCACTGGGCTAGGTTTTTGTCATAAAAATAAAGGGAAGGGTAACCTCCTTTCTGTATACAGTGCTATAAAAATCCTCCTGGCCAGAGGCAGAACCCTTTCACCTGTAAAGGGTTAAGAAGCTAAGAACCTCGCTGGCACCTGACCAAAATGACCAAAGAGGAGACAAAATACTTTCAAAGCTGGAGGGAGGGAGGGGGGGACAAAGAGTTTGTCTGTCTGTGTGATGCTTTTGCCGGGAACAGATCAGGAATGCAGTCTCAGAAACTCTGTTAAGTTAGTAAGTAATCTAGCTAGAAATGCATTAGATTTCCTTTTGTTTAATGGCTGGTAAAATATGCTGTGCTGAATGGAATGTATATTCCTGTTTGTGTCTTTTTGTAACTTAAGGTTTTGCCTAGAGGGATTCTCTATGTTTTGAATCTGATTACCCTGTAAGGTATTTACCATCCTTATTTTACAGAGGTGCTTCTTTTTTTTTATCTTTTCTTTAATTAAAATTCTTCTTTTAAGAACCCGATTGATTTTTCATTGTTCTTAAGATCCAAGGGTTTGGGTCTGTGTTCATCAGTACAAATTGGTGA